TGGGGCAAAATAACCCTGCCAGGCTCCTCCCAGATCTGCAGCCAGGAGAAGCTAGAGCCTGGGGGCAGCACCTGTGCTGGTCCCAGCAGTGTAAAAAGCTGCCCTGGCAATAGCTCAGGGCAACTCACTCTCAGGAGTTTCTGGGCCCTGTATTTGACCAGGAAGGAGGCTGTGGCCAGGAAGGTGCCTGGAGACTGTGGGGCCGCTTTCCTCTTACTTGTCCATGCATGTCTCCAGGTGGAACACCAGTGGGCAGCACCCACCAGGTCCTTGGATGCCTTTGAGGACCGGTGGGTATGGCTCAGGGGGCTCTGCTCAGTGTCCCTCTGAGGCACATTTATTTTCATGTTTTGACCCTTTGACCCAGATGAGACTCCTATCCTGTTTTTTGCCTTTTTTGTCCCAAGAATTCTGTTGTATCTTTCACCCATTGGCTCCACACAGTAGGGGCTATTAGTTAGCTAGGTGGGCCTTAGAGCCCACAATATTTGAAGGATACAAATAAACAGGAGTTTCTGGGGCACGGCCAATTGGTACCTGAGGACACTACCCCTTAAGGCTGCTTCATCAGTCCAGCTGGCACAACTGAAAGTTCTTTGCACCCTCTACCCACTGCAGCAGTCTGGCAGTGGGGGCTGCCGCCTGGCTGTGACCTGCTGCACACCAGTCCCAGACGGGAACTGCACAGCCAGTAGAGGCATCTGCCTCTCTGGGCCAGCCGCCAATGGGCTGTGGCTGCAGAGTTTGTGCAACACGATTGCCATGTGTTCTCCTGCCCAGCCATCTGGGCAGCAATCGCCCAGAAGATGTTCCCAGTGTGGTGGCCTGCTTTAAACTGTCAAAGCATGTCCTTCTGGCCCCAACTGGCCAGGAGGTCAGCCATGTCCAGCTGGGTCCAAGGTGCCAGCTCTGAGCAGGCTCTTCTGCCTGGGTCCTGCCACTTGCCTCCCTAGCAGGAATTCTGGTGTTCCTGATTTGAAAACCGCAAAATCTCTGATAAAAAAAATCCCAAAGTCACTCTGTAAAATACCCCAAAATCCATGTTCCTCCACAATTAAAAAAAAAAAAGGCCACTATTTATATAGAGAGAGACAGCAAT